CTTTCTCAAACACTGGATACTTAATTGTCCCGATAACTCCCCCGAGGAAGGGCCTACATTCCTACCATGTATGTAATATGCACAGGACACTAGAACACATTAAATCTATGATCTTCCGAACATCGGTTCAAATTGAGCAGCAGTTAATTAACCGAGCACGAGAAGCTGCTCGAAATATGAGTCCAGACTCAAAGTGATTGGGACACAAAGGTGTTTGGAGTGAAACGGGCAGGACTTCTTGCTCTTGGGAACACTTGTGTTCTGCCAACAGAATTGTATTTTATTTGATCAATGATACATAACCTTTAACAGGTGGTTTTGGATGACAGTTGTGACCAATTTAGGTATATCCGTCATTTGCCCCAAAAAGATGGCAGCACTCGGGGTGCTGTTTTGTCGCAGCACTGACCGCAAGGTGACACCGTTATCCTACCCTCAACGCATGTTGTTGTCTCTTTTATTTTCTTTCCTTCATGTTTATCCATGGTTACCGGAGTTTTTAATAATTACAAAGGAACAGGTATTTACGTAATGTTAATTAGGCAGATTACCTTAAAAAACATTGTTGCCATCTTTCTGACCTAGTTTCTTTCAAATATCTGAGTTTTTAATAACATTTAATTGTTTTTACTAATTTTCCTGTACTCCAAAGACATCCCCAGACAACACTTCCAGAGGAATGACGCCAATTTTAAATCACCCTGTATGCTGAAAATCCCGTTTCACACAGACGGTGAAATTGTTCTGAACGATTAACATGCTTGTGTCCGATGTTATTTCTAAAAATGATTCATAGATCCGATTTGACATATTTTGAGGCTTCTGCAATTTGGATGATAAGGGTTTAATGAGATAATAAGTTTAATCCATGAGTTTATTTGCAGTTTCTTATTCTGTTCTTCAGGAAAGTTAGATTCAAAAGTCGCTCGCAGATCATTCAGATATTGCACCAATTCAACAAATGTCTAATTTTGAAATATTTCTGGATCATTAAGGATAAGGTGACTAAGGAACTCACTCAGCAATGAAAAAATTTCTGTTTCTCTGTTACCAAAACAAGTAATCCGAAATTCTAATTTCCTTTTAAAGGCGGTTATCTTGTTGTTAGCATGGAAAAGTGTTGTCTGTTTTCCTTGTAGTGACAGGTTTAAGTCGTTAAGTTTCCAAACATGTCTGCTAAAAATGCTAATCTAAATAACCAGCTTTTAATCTAAAAGGAATGTCTGTTAGGAAAGCTTCCAATTCTGTTGTTAGTTCAAAAAGCTTTGTCAAAGTTTTACCCCGAGACAACTATCTCACTTCAGTATAGAGCAGTAATGTGTTATGATTGCTACCATAATCTTCACATAATATTGAAAACCATCGGGATTGCATTGAACGTGACAAAATTAATTATTTTTACCGCCTCATCAAGAACCAACTTTAGATTTTCGGGCATTTTCTTAACCGCAAGTGATTGTCTTTGCAGGATGCAATGGCTGGAACTACAATTGGAGCTTTCGTTTTTATTCGTGATACGGCTCCTGCTGCTCTACCTGTCATTGCCTTGGCTCCATCGGTACAAATATCTATGCAATCATTCCATTTTAGTCGGTTTTCTTCAAAAACTATGTTAACCGTGTTACATTCTCCGAAATTACTTCTCCGGTTGTGTTAGTAGAATGTTCATATGGGTATTGCACAATTACTAGCAAGATGGCCAGTCAGAAACATGCTTTGCAGCTTTCTCGTGTCTAACACACATGGTTTTATTCACTTTTCAGCGATGGTGTGCGCTTCTCCTGCTTGGGCAATCCGATAACTAACCAAATACGACGCCTCCGTGGCCTTTTCATTCAAAGTCTAAGTCGCATACGTCATCGTTTTTGGCTTCTTAATAATTGTTTCTTTACGTACAAAAAAATACTGTACGGGATTGCACAGTTTCTAAATGTCGGCTCATCTTAGCAGGTACCATCGAACTCTTAGGAAGGAGTTTGCTGCACCACATACAGAGAGGTGAGCCGTGGGAATCAAGAAATCCGAGAATAATGAATGATTAGTCATACTTTCGTTTTTTGCCTTTATTGTGTCATTAGATGTTTTACTACTTGAACTAGAACCTTGATTTTAATTTGACGCATCATCCAAGCGAACCATTTGTGAGCCTTCCGTGGATGATTTTATTTTTATTGCTCTACCTTTATGCCAACGCACCATTCCTCTTTAAGACTAATTTGATTTGGCCAATTTTGTGACAAATAGAACCTCTTCACGCACGTAATACAACACTTTACAACCACTACGAACACAAGCGAACATTAAATATATTGAACGCGATGCAAGTAAATTTTGCGGTAAATTGCTTGATTAATTAATAATCCGCGCCAAACAATTGTCTTTTACATTATTATTATACAGCCATCGAATCATCTCGAATTTCGCAGAAACTTCGGGCAGCTAGACTACGCGTCAACGAAAAGCGGCGCGAAGAACCGAGATCATTCTATTGCTTATAGTCCGAGCGCGAATGTGAAACATTTTGATGTATTAGGTCGGTAGCTTACTTAACAATATATTAGATTTACGTATACAGGTAATTCAAGTAGCCCGTTCATTAGAAAAAGGTTCCTTTCCTGACATCGTATTCACATTGGAAGGCAGCCATAATCGGCTGCTGCAAGTCTAAATATAGTTTTTTCACCGGAATTCTACGATATCTTGGCTTTGTTCAATGGAAAGTCATAATTTGAGCCTATTTTGATATCAAATTTGTATTCAGCATCAACTTTTGAGTTTAAAGACCGTGTCCCATGCATCCGTTTGTACGATGATACGACGGTACGAAAGTGTTTCTATTGGTTGGAGATCTGTCAATTCGTACGACGACGGACGAATTGACAGATCTCCAACCAATAGAAACACTTTCGTACCATCGTATCATC